CCAAACACTGGATAATATAACCCAGGGAGATTGGCTCTCCTTTGAGCCTGTGGGACAGCCAGGAGAGCGATTTGCTCTCCATCTCTGTTGAACCCTTGTGCAGAGCAGTGTGCTACAGCCATGCTGCTTGGGGTGTCTGTGGCAGGGGACCCCAGGGAGAGGAAGAGCCTGAGCTCACCAAAGCCCACACAGCACAGCAGCTCCTCTCCTGAGTGAGGTCATTTTGGCATGGGGAAAGGAGTTATTCATGTGTAGCCTCCCTGAAAGGGAACCGCCGGTTCAAAGGAGCCGCAGTGTTGACCCAGATGGGTCTGTCCTCCCTTCGTCCGCTGCCCGGGGTCTCGGCATCTCCACTGCCCGGAGGATGCTCTGGAGCCTCCATCCACCACCGTGCAGCAGCTGGAGTCCTCCCTTACTCCATTGCTATGGCAACCCCCTTGCACAGGCATCTTCTCCTCGCTGCCCCGCTGTCAACCTGCTGCAGACCTCCCGGGGACGGGGGGTGTCAGCCACCCCCACACCATCCCCGTCTTTTCGCTATGCTGTGACAGAAAGCAAACATAGCTCTCCCTGCACGGAGTATGCACACTGGGCACTGTCACCCCACCTCTCACTCCACCTCGGTATTTTTTCAGCCCGCTGTTTCAGGCTCAGGGTTGTCCTCACCCACGGGGACCTGCAGAGCTCTATGATGGTGTCAGCAGGTGCAATTGACTCTAGGGTTTTCTTCTGAAGGACCAAGGGGTGTCTATACGGCACATAGGGTGACACCTATAGAAACCCTTGGAGCAAATGCCTGCAAATGGTCAGGGGAACCACATTCCAAACTCCGTGGCTCACAGAGGTTACCCCTGCACCAATTATAGCCAGAGCATAGGGTCCCGGATGAGATGGAGAGACCTGAAGATACCAGAGCTGAATCTCAATCAGAGTTGCATGAACTGCCTACTCAGTGAGAGGGAAACTGAGGCATAAAAGGGGCTGAAATGCTTTTTGAAGGTCATTAACAAGCTGAACCATTATCTCTGCCCTGTTTAACCCATGTCAGAAATGTCATCCATGGGCCATGCAGGCACGCCGTCATCTCACAAAGAGCCTTCCCTCAGCCTGGGCTCTGTCTCATACTGAGGCTCTTTTTTCTTCTCAGAGATTAGATGATCAGAATAATATAGAATCTTATTGCTGCTCCTCTGCAATAAAAAATGGTATTACAGCTGCAGTCCACCAGGAATAGTGAAGGGAGAAGAATAATTTGTTCCCCACACCTCTGTCCTAGCTGATAGTTTTATTTATTCTGCTTTTTCCCTCTCATTTCCATCCTGAGTGTTTCTCCCTTTGTTTTTTTTTCTTTCTTCTCCTTGACCTCTTGCTCCCTAGCACGTGACCTTCCAAAGTACCGTGTATCCTTATTTATAGCCCTTAATTTAACAGGCTGTATTTGTGCTGCCCTGGTCCAGCACATACCAAGCAATGCTGTTTCATGAATGCCTCATGTTCAAAGCTGACCAGGGCAGAGAGCTGACGGGGAAGGTACAGACGTATGAAACTTCTCAGGCACGTAAAACTCCCGCAGGGTAAAAGGCTGTGCCTAGCATCATTTTGTGCAATCTCCCTTTTGACTGTGAACAGCATCTGAATTTATTGTTATCCATCATCAGCGATGATAAAGCAAAGCTTTTCTCACACCCCTGTGCACGTTCCTCTGCCTCTTAGTACTTGCCCCATCGCACCTGGTTTGTCAGGGGATGTTCACGTGGCTCTCCTGCTCCCTGGCTCTAATGCATGGGCAGGGATGTCCGAGGGTGTGTGATGGGGACAGTTCTTCTGCATCTGCTTCAGGGCTGGAGGAATGGCTGCAGTGGGACGTTGTGGTGGCAGATTCTGCCGCTGGACCTGGTTTCATAGAGCAAAGGACACCCCATGAGCTTCACAAGGTGTGTCTGGTGTGGGAGAGGGAAGGATTTGCATGGCTGACCTGCAACCATGCGAAAGCCAAGCCTCAGGGCATGCCAGCTCCGTGAGTCTTGGCGTGGTAGGACTTCACACCCAATCCAGTCCTGTTATTTCTCCATCCGTGTCCTGTGCTTCTGCTAATCCCTTTGCATTATGGCTTGCAGAGTAGGTCAGTTAAGCTGACTTCTCTGATGGAATCCTAACCCAAGAAAGAAATTAAAGGGTTTTTTTAATTGTCTCAATGATATGATGTGTCATGTGCCTTCAGGATTGACAGGGTTTATGTAAGGGAAGGGGGAAACCCCTGAGCAAAGGGTCTTAGTGAGGTGGGAGCAGACCCTCATCCCATTTTGGTGTTGAACTCCTGTTACTACTAATTAGGCATGGCACCAGCCCCCTGAGACTGGCAAGTGTGTTAATGAAGACAAATCAAGGGTTAATCACTTAAACTGCCCTGCGCAGAGCAGCCTAGGGGGAAATTGAGCCTGGGGCAGGCAGACTGGGAGACGTCTGTTGTCTTGAGCCAGAGGCCAGGCTTATTCCTGGGAATTAAGTAGGTCTCAGGCAGCAAACAGGTTTGTATTACAGCCTCACACACAGACATTTTTCACACGCTTACCACTTTCAGATCTCTTTTTCTACAGCAGATCTTTGACCCAAGTCCAAGATATTGATAGGAAATTATAGGCATCTCCTTTCTGTCGTTTTTGAGTTTGGACAGGCTGGGAAACAGACGTACCTATTTAGGGGGTGTCCCTACAGAATGAATGAGAGGTTTCGTGTTGCACCTGGGAGGAGGTGAAGGATGGGTTGGATCCGTGCCGTTTTCGGGGCAGAAAAATCAAATCCCTCCACAGCTGCCAGGAGATGGTGATGGGGAAGGAGAGATGGCAGCAAGGTCCTGGCAAAGGGGATGCTGCAGACTGCGGCTGTGCTTTCAGAGTCTAATGCTGTTAAAGCTAACTGAGCTGTACCCAGGACTCAAAATAGACTCTTCCACCCTGAGGATTTTATACATGCTGAAGACACAAGACAAAGGAGATTGTTGGGGCTCTGCTTTGTAGCTGTGGCATTAAGAAAAGTCAGCCTTACAATAAAAATATTATCTCTGTTAGGGGTTACCAAACCCAGTAGCCCAGTGTGGAGCTGCAGCAGACTTTATTGGGCTGCTGGTTTTGGCCACCCCTAGCAATCTCCATCTCAATGGACAGAAAAAAACCTCAAAGATGAGGTCTTTAAAGTCGTTAGGTGTTTCTCCGTTACTGATTTCTGGAGGCAAGTGAAATTCATCGACAGGCCCTCAGCTCTGCAGAGCATCCGTGCAAGACCTGGTGCAGGACCTGACTCTCCAACAGGGCAGTCCTCTGCCTTCCCCTCCATACAACCTATTTTTTAACAGAAAAAGGAAAATTGTTGCTGGTCCAGACGTGAGAGCTGTTGGCTTCAACCAGATATAGTATCTGTGCTTGCTCCCGCTCACCGTAAAACTCTCATTAACATAAATAAGAGCAGGAATAAGACCACAACATGACTAATTCTCCACCCCCAGACTGTCTGTGTGTATACTATCAACTCCTCGTTCAGCTCATGTGCCTGCACACAATTGTGGGATAAATCTTGCTTTCTGTTGGTGTTTATTTTAAATTGAATCTTCTTACTGAAAAGGTTCGAGCGGCATAATTATGGTCTGGATTTCAGAGTTACACATGTCTTTGTGGGCACAAATAGCACGGAAAAGAATGGCTGAGTAACTCATATCGCTGCAGTTTAGTGCATCCAGCTAGAAAGCTGAATACGTCCCGGCTGGTCTTTCTTGGCATGTTACCAGGCAAGCAAAAAAGTATTTTGTTTTGTGTTCGACGTGTAGACGAGAGCTCTGGATCTATTCCTAGCTCAGCCATAGATGAGCTTACAACCTTGAGAAAGTCACTTATCTGATCCTACCATGAAATGAATGCAGAAGCTGCCTGAGCTTAACCCTTGCGGAGTTGTTAAGAGTCCTCTGTCCCACCAGGTCCCACGGAGGCAGGTTTGGTAGGCCAGCTTTGGCTGTGGGCACGGCTTCTCCAAGCCCACAGCTCATGGCAGGAGGAACTAGGAGTTTTTCCAGGACTCTGTGCTAGTCCTCCACCTGGGTGTTTTCAAGGGGAGCATTGGGACCCTTCCCAGTGGGCAGACTAGATGTGTCCAGTGATGGAAACCACAGGCCAAGTCTGTCTGAGCACAGGCATCTGAACCCAAGCCGTGCCAGCACCCCAGTTACTCCCACACTTGGCTGGGGACCATGCTCCTGCCCTGAGACTGCTGGACAGGAGAGAGCTGAATCTTATGGCTGTAGATTGGCATCTTTAGCAAACTTAGACCTAAACACAAATCTGTAAAACTAGGGGGGCGGGGAAGTCACTTTGCCCAGCTCTCCTTTTGGCTCAAACTCTTGGGAGAAGTTTGGGTTGACTTACTTCACCTGGTCCTGTTTTGCCCAAGTGGAAAGATGTAGATTTGCCAGCCAGGAAATCAGCAATACAGTGTGCATAGACACTCCAACCCCCAGCAACTCCAGAGGACGTCGGGTTGTGTGATAAAGCTCCAGAGGAGTCTGTGAATGTGTCCTGGGCTCCTTGGCAACCCATTCATGGCCCCATCAGTTAAGACTGGAGATGCAGGTAACCAGAGCTTCCCTAAAAGCCAGAGCCTGTCTGTTCCTGCCCCAAAAGCAGTCAGATAGCTGAGATGAGGTAACGCTCCCCAGGAGCACCTTGGCACTGTGCCTCTCCCGGAGCCCTCGCTCTGCTCCCTCCACTGCAGCAGGAGCCGTCTCTCCCTTCTCGCTCACTTTTCCTTCTCAAACTGGAAATCAACCATCTGCTTTTCTTCCAGGTGTTCATCCAGGGCCAGCGTGGTGCATGAGCAGGAGCCACCACCACCACAGCTGTCCTCCAAGGGGCTGTGTTTGGCACACCGCAGGAACTGGTCCAGTGCTGAGGGTCTCCCACCTCCATCCCAGGTCCTTTGCAGCACACCCATATGCCATTGGACTCCGAAAGAGGATGTCTCTACCCAAAATCCAAATAGAAGAGGCACTGGACAGCACAGAAGCTGGCTCTGGAGGTGCTGCTCCTCCTGATGACCACCTGAGGAGCCTCAAGGCACTGACAGAGAAGCTGAGACTGGAGACCAGGCGCCCGTCCTACCTGGAGTGGAAGGCGAAGCTGGAGGAGCAGGCATGGAAGAGCCCCCAGCCAGCGGGAGAGGAGGAGGCAGTTGAGGACAAAAAAGCCACAGGGGAGACTGTCCCCTTGAGGAAAGTGCAGCTGCATCTCAATGGGAACCCTGCCCAGGACAAGGTGACTCTTACCTCAGGGAGAATAGGTGGCTTTGAGAGCATCGATGAAGCTTTGACGTGGCTCAGGAAGGAACTGGTAAGTGATTACCTGTCCCTGTTAGATAGCACGCTTTTTCAAGAGGGGAAAAAAACAAAAAAAAGACTGAGGAAACAAGTGACTCCTTGTTCCTACCTGCCTTTAACCCCAGATGAAAAGACAACAATCAATCCTTGCATTTTCTGTGGCTGGCAGGAGCAAGAGCAGCCCAGGGAAGGGAAAAGGTGAATGCCAGAGCATCCATAACCTCAGAGAAGGAGCTAGGCCCTTCTCAGCATCGCTGCTGGCATCCAGCAGGCTGGGGAAATAAGGTAGTTTCTGCTGGCTAGGACTTTTTAACAGTTTGCCCCCTCCCCTGCTTCTCTAATTATATCTCAACACTAGATGAATACAGCAGGTATGAATACACCGTGAATATGTGGACACTGCTGGTGCAATAGCTCATCTCTGATGGGGATCGGGAGGGGATGCTTCCTCAGGGCTGCAGGAAGGAAGCATGACCAGATCCATCCCCTGGACCTACTCTTGCAGCTTGTGGCTATTGGCAGTTTAGGAACTCCCCCAGCAGAAGACTGTATGCTGACCACTGCATTTAGCAGTCATTAGCAGATCTAACCTCCAAGTGTTTGTCTGATTTCCCCTTTTTTTTTCTTTTTTTTTTTTTAAACTCATAACTCTCTATGAGGTCTTGTGGTAACCTGCTTCCCCCAAGTCATTTCTGCACGGTGAGAGCAAGTGCTTCCTTTTGTTTCAAACTGTTGTGGGATCCCCTTGTTCTGACCATGAAATATCTAATGAATAATATTCCATGCCATATGCATGACATCGGAACCTTATCTCAGACCCATCCTCATCCAGCTCTTACAGGTTCATCGTCTGTTGGCTCCTGCTTCATTAGAAGCTGGTCCACATTTCTGTCATCCTCCCATCCCAATCTCGGGACCTATCTTGCACATATGTTTATTTCTGGTAGTTATGAACTGGTAGTTTGACAGAGAGGAAGACAAGACAAAAATGCTACACCTATGCTAGGAAAATACACAGAGCCAGGGCGTGGACGTTGGAAGCTCATCTTTTATATGCTATGTTGCTATCATGGTCTTTGGCCCAAAGTTGCCCTGGGCCAACTAGTGCTGACCCAAGCAGCTCCCGACCCCGCTCAGGAGTCAGCACAGCCTGGGAATAATTCCCAGGAGGAAGCGTGGATGCAGCATATCTTTTCTGGAGGCCACAGGATGGACACGACCAGATCAGAGCAGCTATTTTCAGGGCTGGAGAATGGGCCCCAGTGTTCTTCCCAAGAATAGGAGCAAGCAGACACAAGACCACACTTCTCAGTGATCCTTCCCTTCTCATTGCAATGAAAAATCTTTGTTATTTGGCCCACATGACTGGAAACAACGCGTGTCACATGGCTTTGTTTCTGTTGCCTAATTGGACGTTTGCCTGTGAGTCCCACCAGCATTTGCAACTGTATTGACAGAAGAAATATTTGCAATATGGTCCCAGGGAACTGCGACATCACTTGTGGTTCAGATGCACTTGTGAAAATGTTCATGTGCAAATGCTTTGCTTTTGATAAGCACTGGAAGTCTTTGAGGAAAACTTCTCAAGCACAACGACAAATAACAGCTTTTTAAAATTCTCTGTGACTTTTCCTCCAGAGAATTTTTATTTGTCAACTTTTGGTTGCTCTTGCTGTATTTCATAGAATCATAGAATTTTTAAGGTTGGGAAAGAGCTCTAGGATCATCAAGTCTTGCCCAGCTAGATTGATTTCTAGAGAGGTTATTTATGGAAACAGTTCTGGATGTCACAGTTTTGGTGGTTGAGGTGTTTCTCAGGACCATGGCTTCCACAAGGCAAGTGAGGGCTTTCAAGAGCCGAGGACTATTTTGATGAGTTTTGAGCCGATCTCCTAAAATCACTTAGTGGTCCAGAGAATTTCGGTTCCTGATCTGAGACCTGAATCTGAGTCCGTGCTTCCAACTGTGATGGAATCTTAAATTCACAGTGCACTTGATGTAAAACCCAAGTCTCAAGATGCCCAAAGACAGTAAGAAGCAGATTTTCCTTCACAGAGCCCTGAATTTTCAAAGGTTTGGTTTGTTCTGTCAGTTTCTGCCCATGATGGGAAGTATAAATTGTCTCAGAGTCTGATTCTACCCTTTAGACTAGGGTGTGGTGTATAAACCACCATCTGATGAAAACTAAAAGTTTAAATTAAAGAGGAAAAAGGGCAAAGCAAACCCTAATTGTTCCTCACTTTCCATTTTCCTGCCTCTTAATTATACCAATCTTTTCTGGATCTGGACGTGACTCATGTAATTTAGAACAATTTCCCCAAAAGAGAGAGTATGTATTTGACTGACCACACAGCCAAATAGCTACGTTGGAGGCACTATTGTTGGGTAAGAGCTGCCAGCAAACAGTGAGAATACAGCAAGGCAATCGCATCACAGGATGCTGGAACAAAAAGATGCATTTCACATTACATTTCAAGGATGAAACCCAGATTCTTTTCAAATAAACGAACAAGTTTCCACACATCCCAATACAGCCAGGATTTTTTCCCTTGTTTATCTCCATGTTGTGATAGTAAAGCAATCAGAAAGACTTCATAGCAGGATATGGTTATGTCTAAGTTTCTACATTTACTTAAGGCAGGAGCCAAAGCCAGAAAGGGCAGCATCTCTCAGCACCCTGCTCGAGGGGGCCAGGCAGGGGGTCAGCACCCTGCACCTTGGGTAAGGTCACACCTAACTGGTCTAGTTTAATGTAGAAGACCATAGACCTCGGAGCACCACACAACCCATCCTTGGCCCAAGCAAGTGTCGGTGTCCCAGGAAGCTTTCTGAAGATCATCCAGAAATGATCCAGTAGTCATAGTTGGGGTGAAATCTGCCTCCACCACGCTGTCCTCTGCTGCAGGGTGAATTCTCCTCCACTCTACATAGTCCTTCATGAGAAGTCATTTAGAGTATGTAGGATTCATCTAGCCAATGAAAGGGCAAAACCTGGTGCATGTAGAGATTTCTACCCAGGAAAGAAGTACACCAGCCCATGTCCTTACTGAATGAAGTGCAACGATGCAGGGCGTGCAGCTCCATCACCCACACTGTGCAACCCCGCTCACAGCTACCAGCACGTTTGGGCTGGGTTATTTCAATAGCATGGCCCCAGCATAGTTTTGGCTTGTATCAGTTAGTACCCTGCCAAACAGTTAGAGCTTCAGGAGTTTGCACATGCTGGGGACTATTCCCAACAGGCAACTTGTACGGGACCACCCAATTTTGGAATTAACTCCATCCAAGCCAAAACCAGTAGAGGCAGCAAAGTGAATTTAGTAGTATGCATATACCCAAACTTCTGCTTGTCCATGGTGCTACAGAACAGGTCGTGACACAGGTTAGTTGCCTGGTGAATTGATAGTCCAGGAGTGCCCATCTTTAAAATTAAAGTTAATTTTTAAATCTGAAGCATTACTCCCAGTCAACACAAAAGCGGCCATCCAACACTGCAAGGAATCTGCTTCCATGTCTCCAGAGTCTGATCTGGTTCAGGTTCAGCCAGGTCCAGGCTCCTCCTGTTCAGAAGTGAAGGACAACCCCAAGGTCTCATCGTGCATCTGCTATTCTTGGTCCTTCACCCCACATGACCTGTCCCAGGACCTGATTCTGCACATCAAGTCCTGGCCCTGGTTTATAGGACTGACATATGTCCACTGAGCTCCAGCCAGCCACGTCAGCTGGGACCTGCTGAGAATCTGGCCCAGAGAAGCTGATTTATTCAGACATGCAAACTCCTGCACTTATTTTTCCTTTGAGAGGCTCTGTGTAGGTGTACGAGCAAATTGCATTGCTCAGCATGTGCTGAACTGCTCCGGGGCTAGACCACTTCCCTCCTCAGCTCCTCCTGCCTCTTCTTTGTCCTCGTGTTTGCCTTTGCATTGTCAAGTGTAGCTGCTCTTCATCAATGCTGAAAGTGAAGCCATCATCAGCCAGGGTACGGTGACAGACCCAAGGATCAGAGTGGTCAGACTGTACTTTCTTCTTTGTTTTTTTGGAATTTGTCAGGTTTTACAAGTTCTAAAATTAAGCCCTCAAAATCATTTTCCTCCTAAATGTGGTTAAAGAACAAAACTCTGCTATGAACTGGGACATCTTAGGACAGTTCTGACTTTGTCCCAGTATGAAAATACATTTTCTGTCTCAAATTCACTAATGTTTGGCACTGAAATCTGAGGTGTGAGAGCCAGAATGTAGGAAAGACTCTTGAAAAGGGACACAAATGTCTGATGCTCTCTCCTGGGAAATCATAAACCACCTACGTCCTGTTGGTCAGACAATTACTATAAAATATTATCTCCATTTGGGATACTGATATTGGCTGAACAAGTACTTAAGTGAATTTAAACAATGCAGCACCAAAAAAAGTGTTGACATGAGCCTTGTTGCAGATTGCTCTGGGGTTGTTTGGAGGTGGAGAGGAGAAGGAGTCTAGAGCAAGGATATTGTGATGGAGATGATTGGCCTGTGTTGGGAGTCCTCTGCTATGTAGCAGGCCCAGGAAGGATTTGTCCATATTTGTATTTAAAGCAGTGAAAGGAAATCAGCACAGGCACCAGAGTGGGGTCATCTCTACTGTTAAATTGCTAGAACTGGGGCACAGTTTAGGAGTTATCACAGAACAGGAGCATCCCCAAGGGGCAGCTTGGGTGCAGCCATCCTGTTGTGGAAAGGGAGGGTGTTTCATGGAGTGGTTGTGGATTTATGTGCGTAGCAGAAATGTAACTGCAGAAGCATCTGAGAATTGATGTGGTCTTCTCCTGAGTAAGTCAACTGAGATGTTCTTCTGTTCGTCTCACTCATGCTAAGCAGCCAGGCTTTTCCTCTGGCACTGGGGTTTGTCCTAGGTACACCATTCCCAAACCTGAATGCATTTTAGCACCTCTTAATTTAACAAAAATGAGATGTAACTACCTCCCTCAGGAAAGGTAATATGAAGATTAATTCTGAGGGAGTCAACACAGACTACACTCAACACTGTAGAAGGGTGAGATCTGGGACACACATCAGGCTTTGCATGTGTCAGCTAGCAAGTATCCTGGACTTTGGTCGTGTGTGACTCCCAAGCACTGCAGAAGGAGATGAGACACCTGATTTGGGGCTTTGCACCACAAGGGCATGAGCATCTAAAATTATCCATGGCAGGGTGGCATCTGAGCACCTTTGAAGATGAAGCCTCAGACCAAAACAGACTTCACTGACTTCTCCGAAGCATTCGGCAAGGGTCTAATAACTGGCCTGTGCTTCTCCATGCTTGAATCCAAGTGTCTGCACTCAGGAAAGCACCAGTTTAGATTTAAGTTTCTTTTGAGCTTTTGGAAATAAAAAGGACTAGTCCCATGGGAGCAGCCACTTCTTCATAGACCATCACCCTGAGCTTCATGGACCACAGACTGGGATGCTGTCCACAGGGCACTTCTCTTTTGGGAAGAGGTCCCAAGGAGCTCCGCACCTCCATGCCACGAGGTGCTCTCTGCTGGTACTTCCCACACAAGGAGATGGACCGCGGGCAATAGGAACATTATTGGTCTTCCCCTCTGTGACCATATGGTTAAGGCAAACTTGAAGACAAGTCTAGGCTATACCCTGAGCTACTTCTACCTATTTATTTGAGCTAAGCCACCTAGACTGGACAGCAGGCAAAGATACATCCAAAACTTCTCTGTCCCCCATATTAAACATCCCCAGGAGACTATGAGTCTCAATCCAAACAGAAAATCCTTCCTGAGTTCATAAGACTTTGGGTCTCCGTGGTCCAGCTCTGTGATTCAGTCTAGGAGCTGCAGTAGCTCCTCTGCCAGGAAGTTTGGTTCCACTCCCACCCGGGGAAGTTCAAACCAGCAGCCTGTCCATCCCAACAGCGTGATCCAACCATGCAGATGAAAGGCAGCTCTTTGCCTGATGGAGCTGGATGTGCAGAAAGAGGTGGGAGAAAGGCAAAAAGCAGTTTGTGAGAGCAAGACATACCTGAGGCTGTTCTTGCATTTGGTGTGTGAGACTCGAGGGAAGCAAAATGCATGGCTTCTGCTGGGTGCTCCCCACGGGTTTCTCTAGGACACTGCACAGTGTGTGGGATCATGCTGTCATCCGACACAGATGAACTGGTGCATCCAGTTACTTTGTAGTGACTGGCCTTCTGGGTGAACTGTGTAAATCAAAAAACAATGGTTTCCTGCTATGTGGCCCCTGTAATCCCGTTATCTTTCCAGGATGCTTTGTGGAGCTCTGCTGACCCAATAGTGCTCCTTTTAAAAAGAGATCATTCTTCATTTATAGCAATGGTTTGGTCCTCAGCATGGGACGGAGTGAATGTTTCTCGTACTCATGAGAAAAGGAAAGGGCAGGAGAATGAGGATTTCTGGGTTCTGACCCAAATTTTGTGAATATTCTGGGAGGTTTTGAGCAAAGCAGGGTTTAACAGGACAAGTCCATGAAGGGAGGACAGGGTGATTACATCTCAAGCCCCACTGATGAGTGGGAAGAGTGAGAAAGGCTATGCCCTGCAGAGCAGCCCACCCTCCCCGCCTACAGTGGGCCTTTTGTGCTCTGCCCCCTGCCCAGTTGTCACCCTGTGGACCTACCTCCATGGGACCTGTCATCATGCAAGGAGATCCCAAGCCCTCAGGAAGCCAAGGCAAGCTGTGACAGCCCTCATCCCCTGTGCCATCTCCTCGTTGTGCAAGTCATCCTTTAGTCTACCATTGCTAGACTTTGTTCCTCACCCATCTACCTTTCTTTCCTGGAGGGCAGAAGAAGGCTTTATTCCCCTGGGAAAGCCTTGGCTGGTAGTGCACATTTGACAGGTCACCCCTGCTTCCCCGTTCAGCCCCAGAGCACAGCCAGAAAGGGCTGTGTCCAAGAAGGTGCCACAGCCTAGGTGATCAACCTAGATAGGTAGTGGCTTCGCCCCATGCCACATTGCCCCCACCCTGCAGGTGGGCCAGCGGGCCACGTGGCTAGCTTGGCAAACAGCAGGGCCAGTAGGTCCGATGGGGGAAACAAGTGTGACTGGAGATTGAGCACCTGAAGGACTTGCACTGGAGGGCTTTGTCTTGCAGCCCAGGGAAAGCAAGAACCAGTCAAAAAGTAGAAAGCTGGCTTGCAAGGGAAAAATAGCAATCCGAAACTCACATCCCTCTCCACAATGGCCTCATAATTCATTTTTAAACCCTTCTTGGTGGTTTGTTGTTGTTGGGTTTTTAATCCCACATTCCTCAAAGCACTTAATAAAAGCATTTGTTGAAATTTCTTATGTAGCTTGATAAACTGACAAGAAAGAATGACCAAGGGTCATATAACATCCATGTTCAATAACATCCATGATTGCCTTCCTGATAAAATGTCAAGTTGCAGCATTCATTGTGACGTAGAGAAAAATATTGACAATTTTTTTTTTTTTCATTGCAATTCACATGGGAGAAGAAAAACCTGCTGAGTGGCATTACTCTGCTGGGGGCACAGGCTATGAGGTCTGCAAGAAAATACTGGGGTTTTTTTTGAAGGTAAATGGCCACAACCCTGCCAACAATTCAAGAGAGATTTCACGAGAGAGGAAGAGGGAGAGAGAGAGAGAGAGATTCACTCCGAGATTTGCACAAAGGTGACTTAATCCTCTCCAGGCAACCGAGCGGGAGTCCAATCGCTGGCTGAGAGCACCAGGCAAGGTCCTCCAGGGTTCCTCCATGGTGCAGGAGTGAGAAAAGCCTTGCTTAGTTTGGATTAACTTTCATTATACTCATGTCAGCTCTCTGCTTAGTCTCTGAGCACAGCATTGCAAAGGGCTTCCCGGCAGGTGCAGAATACAGCTGAAGCAGAGCCAGGCTTCCTTCCAAGACCTTCAACCTCCTAAGGTGGCTGCTTCACCTTGTTGTGAGATTGGCAATGCTGCAAGGGACAATCCTGACGCATTTGGAGGCATTGTCTGGAGGAGGAGGGATTATGCCACAAGCTAGAGCAACCCCGAGGTTGACAGCCTTGTTGCAGCAGCCCAGGCATCAGAAAGGTCTCATGCAGAAATACCCGGGCTACCTGCGGAGCCTCCCGAGGGGAATCTTCCCTCTTCCCTTCCCTTCTGCAGTTTCTTGTATAAGCTACAAGACCAGGAATAAATTTACCCCCCACCCCCAGAGCTACATCTGTACTTGTAAACAGTTCATTTTCAGGCCTGGAGGCAAACTGGTATGGTTTGGCTGCGTCCATGCTGTTAAAATCCAGACAAAGTGGCTGTATCCCAAATGCCTACCAAGGATGAATCCCTCTGAGCTAATTCCTGAAGAGTGCCTGTGGGAAATTGCTTAGGCCTGTGAGAGCTGTCCTCAGCTCAAAGGATGCCAGGATATTGCTTGCAATTGAGTGGAAAGACTTTGTTGCAATGCACTATTTAACATATAGCTGTAGTCTCAGTCTGTTTCTGAGCTCGTTCAAACCTCAGGGAGCCAAGAAACCAGTGATGCAAATCAAAGGAGCGAGGTAAAGGATGGGTTTGGGGTGAGGGCAGCTGCACAGTGCAGCTGGGGATGAGATCTCACGCCCTGAGAAGTCGGTGAGGACAGGATTCACCCAGGGAGCCACTGGCATGGGGGAAAAAAAAAAAAATCAAACAAAATCTGGAGCCTTGGTGCCAAGGGGCTCCTTCCAGTGCCAGTCCATGTCCTGCGATGGAGGCAACACCAAGGGAAGAGGCAGGACATCTCATTGGGCCAGATGTAGGACTGTTTTCCAGCTCATTTTGCTCCCTCCTTGTCTCCAGCTGTTACAGAAAGATTTAAGCCTCAAAGTTTGCTAAGAGATGTTTGGCTTCTCCCCCACCACCGTCTTTTCTTTGTGGCTTTTGTGGCTTGTTGCTTTTCTGTGAGGAGGGATGTGGGGTGAGACGTGGGGATTGTCTTCTCGGCATCTGCTGTTCTAGCTCTGCCTGCTTCTGTTCCGCAGACAAAGGCTGATTCTTGCACTGAATCTCACCATGGGTTCACCTCTTTCCTTCTCTGCTCCCAATATCCTGTGGCAATAAATTTTCTACTTAATTATAAGTTGGAATTTTTTAAAAAAATAAAGCTCTTTTCTTTCATCACTTCTTAATCTTCCACCTTCTGAATTTAGGTGCCAGGGGAGGAAAAAAAAACATCTGAAACACTTAGCTCATTAGCCTGCGGGATAGTTGTTCTCTCTCCTGTGAGAAACCATGGAGGTCCCATCCCAAGAGCCACTTTAAATCAGCGAGATAAGCCACAGGGGATGTGGAGGGCCACATTCCCGGCTGCCGTGAATCAGCTCTGATTTATGCAGGCTGGAAACCCAGGCTGAGTATTTGGGGATAGGTTCTCTGGGGTTCTTTTAATAGGTCCTTTCCATCTCTAATTGCTACCTCTCACTGTGGCTGCTCCCTTATGAGCAAAATTAAATCAGGCTTAAGGTTGAGATGGAGGCTGTGAAGCCTGGGCTGATGGATACCCAAGCCAATAGCCTTGGCATGGCTGGCTTTAATTCCACTTTCCTGGTGCTCCTGAAAATCTGGACAGGCACAGGCTTCCTGAATGCTAAAAATTCACCATCCTGAGCTGGTATTTGACTGGGATGCATTGGTGGCTTGGAAGACCCTGTCTTCCTCCCAGTTCTTTACAATGGCGTAGCATCTCTAGATGAGTTACATTTCCAATGATTTGGTGCAGCCTCTAGCAGGAAGCAGCATGATGAGCAAATTTGCAAATATTGCCCCTTGCCAATACCCTCTTCCCTCCCCACCCTCCATCTTGTGTTTCAGGCAGAAATGCGCCTGCAGGACCAGCAACTGGCGAGGCAGCTCATGCGCCTTCGCAGCGACATCAACAAGCTGAAGATCGAGCAGACCTGCCACCTGCACCAGCGCATGCTCAACGACGCCACGTACGAGCTGGAGGAGAGGGACGAGCTCTCCGACCTCTTCTGCGACTTCCCCCTCATGAGCTCCTTCAGCCTCTCCACGCCACTCAAGCTCATCGGGGTCACGAAGATGAATATCAACTCCCGCCGGTTCTCGCTGTGCTGAAGGGAGGAAGAAGAGGGAAGGATGGGGGAGAAAGAGAGAGAGGACTGGGCAGTGCCAGGGCTCTCTCTGCCTGACGGCTGGGTGAAAAGAGGCCAAAGAGGGGCAGAGGGAACAGGAGCAAACAGGGAACCCACAGCTGGTCTTGATGGCAGGGCAGAGCAGCAGAGCTGGGCACTGAGATGGCCCAGAGATGCTTGTCGAGAAGACAGGACTTGCACGGAGGAAGCGCGGAGAGCATCTGAACCCAAAATGTGCACTTAGCCTGCTCCTTTGCAAAGTCCCTTCTCCTTCTCTTCTCCCCCACAGTAATTAAGAGGACGCAGCTCCAGTGTGGTTGTTTGTACTCAAAAAATCAAAGGAGGGTGTCAAAGATTAGCCACAAAGCAAAGAAAAATCCCTTTTCCCTTCCCCTTTACCTCCTCCCAGGTTAGAGCCATCTCTTCAGAGTCGGTCTCCTCCCTGGATGTCTCCTCGGGCCCAAGCACAGGGTCCGCAGGGCTATTCCAGGTGAGAAGCTGATTTCCAGTGGAAAGGAGCCCTTCCAGCAGGTGAAGGACTGTGGGTTAAATGGTACGCAGGCCCGAGAAGTGGTGGGATGTGTTTGTTGGCTTGCTCCATTCAGTCCCGTGTACTCTAGCTTAACTTTGCCTGTGGTATAGATTATGGACAGATCACGGACAAATCTATATAGAGACTCCAGCCAGCCAGAAGTCACCTGTGTGCCGTAGAAGTCCTACCCAGAGCAATACATGTTCCTGATCTTCTTGTCAGCAGTAGCCACAAGACACTGTGTGGTTGCCCCCTGCAAGCAGGAAGGCACAGGAGGTAACTTACATCTGAGATATCTCGTATCAGAGAAATCACCCCAGACTGACATTCTCCCAATAGCAGCACCAGCAAATCCTGGATCCTCTGTAGCAACACACATCCATCAGAGAAAGGAACTTCAAGAGGAGAAAAGGGACTTCTGTGTAATGAACACAAATTGTGACTAAAATTAAAGGGAGAAATATTGCTGCAAACACGTGGGATTCCCTCCCTGCTTGGCAGCATGTAAGACGGATGCTGTATTTTCTTGCCTTTCAGTGCACGCAGCTGCACACCTGCCTGTATGTGGCACGGAGGGCAGAGACACCCGTGGTGTAGCCCAGCAAGGGCAGGGACACAAGTGGTCTAGCCATGGCAATCTTGGGACACCTGGCACCCAAGACAGTCTGTCTAGAGGGAGCGTGGGTGCCTCTAGGCTCTCCCTCCTGTGTTGACACCTCTCCTGGCCATGTCAGAGAGGTGCAATCTCTCACCCCATCACCCCAGCTCTGCTCTCTGCCACGTGCCCGAACGGAGAGCTCTGTGGCTGGGTGAATGTGACTGTGTCCATGCAGCACCAGCCCAAGCCCTGGGGACGAGTGGGAGATGCGAGCCAGCGCTGAGCTGAAAGCTGTGTGGCCGTGTTGACGTGCCTGTGCCTGACTGTGTCTGTAAGCCGTGTGTGTGCATAAGTTGTTGTGTGTGTGTGTGCGTGTGAGCCCACAGGATGCCTCTATCGGGAGGCTGAGTGGTGGACCCACGTCTTTGTTCCCAAACGTGATGTGAACCAGAAACCGATGAGACTCTGCCATGCCTGGGAAGATGCAATGAGGCTTCGAGACTTGGGGGTTTCCACAGAGAACTTAGGTCGATGCAGAGAAGACAAATAATCCATCTGCCTCCACAGGTCTCCGTGGGAGGAACAAATTGACATCATGAAGGGGTTCACAGCCACACGGGGCTAGGGACTGGCAGGGGACTCTAGAGCTGAGTCCAGTCCTCTATCTCCCATAGTATGTAACCCCTCGGTGATGCCTTCCCCTCCTCTTTAAAGCTCACTGAGTATCATTTCTTTCTGCTAAGGAAGGAGGTATTCTGGGCACTGGAGCTCTGTCTATACTAGTGAGTTAATCAGCGCCATGCCTGGGTGCTGAATCTTGTGCTGCCCAGGCTGTGAAGGTTTAATTGAGTTGAGGCCAGGCTGCCAGTTGGCCTCTGGACAAGACAACGGGCCACAATGCTGTTTAGTTTACTAGTAGAGAAACAGCCTTATTTCCCCATGGACGTGTTGAAACAGAAAAAAAAAAAAAAAAAAAAAGAAAATCTCATTAAAATTCTTTGTTTACTTTTTTAATAAAAAAAAAATCAATTAATGTCCCACATGTTGATTTTCAGAGGCATTTTCGATCAAAAGATAGCAATGATGACTTTTCAGTGAAAATAATGCCTTGGAAGAGGGGGACTGGTTCTCTCTAGGATCAGCTAGAGTTGACGATAGGGTGGGCCTGCCTTTGGGCTCTTGTCTGGTAACTGAATGCAGGAGGTTAGTACAAGCACAGTCTTAGGAGGTCATGATATGTGGCATTAGAAATATCAGATGTCTGAGTTCCAGACATGTATTTTTTGCATTAAGTGGAACGGGATATGGTTATAACTGCCAGCTCTTCATCGAAATGCACAATTTTTTAATTATAAAATTATGTCCGTATTGATTTCTGTCTCTGTTCAATGGCTCCAGCTTTGTCTGGAGAGCGGTCGGGGAAGCCCCAGTCCGGTGTGCTGAAGGTTTACAGATGTGCAAGGTTTCCAGTCAGGTTTCTCTATCCATACATATCACCGAGACACCCCTACGGCTCCATCAGCAATTGCTCCACCTTGCAGTCTGGAGGAGACGGGAAGAAATTAAGGTGGGAGCACTTATTACGTATTTGGACAAAAATGTACAGGAAAGAAAGCCAAAAAAAACCCCAAACAAACCACTCTTTTATGTCAGATGCTGTTTTGTTAGTCAGTCACTGAGTCAAAAATGGGTCCAGGCATTAAAAAAATATAGCAGGCTAGGGAAGAAAAATAAATAGGTCTGTGTCTGATTTTTGCTGAACTTTGTTTAAAAAAAAAAAAAAATCATACAAAGGTTGGGTGGACCTTGAGGAACATGATTTCAGGTCACTGCTCCCACCACAAAATTCCCAGAAAGGAGAATCCAGGTCTCAGCTGTCTGCAATGAGATGAGCTTTGCCCTCAAGTGCTGGTTCCTCTCCTCATACAAGTGGCCTACAGCCATGTCCCTTTTCCTAGATGGCCTACAAAGCCTGCAGAGAAAGGCTGCTGGCAACCAAGGTTGACATCTCTGGGGTCCATCCTGAAAATACCCTTTAATACAACCATGTGTGTGGACCACTGAATCAAGGCTGTGGTATCTCCATTTGGAGCACCAGCAGCATCATGAAGGTGGGTGCTGCTCCATTTGAAGCAGGGCTCTGCTGGACATTGGTTCAAGGGTTGTCCACAGCTTCCCAGCAGTGAGATACGTTCCTCGTTGAAATTAAAGAATGAGTTTGAGACTAGTCCATGTAAATAATTAACTGCATTTTTAATTTAAATGTCCAGACTGGAAGATCATGGATTTCTCCAGGCTAACTAGAAGACCAAATTTCAGATAATTTTTTCTTGCCCCAAAAAGCTCACATATTTGCAAGTTTTGGATGGGAGGAGTCAGTCTAGTTTTTAATTGGTTACATTTTGCTTTTATTTAAAACAGTTCTAAAAATCTTAATTTAAAACTGAAACCATTAACACCTCATTTTCTTTTCAAACTGTTCTGTAATGAACAGTCAAAATATTTTCCCTGAAATAGCCTTAATGCAACTTTTCCGCTTTCTCTTTTTCACTGGGTATCAGCCATTTATCCAGCTAGACCTGACCCCTGAAGTTTTAGTCAACCTATAGCTCTATATATCTTTCAGCATGAAGATATGAGTTAAAAACGAATTTGCCCAGCTTGATTTCTGACTTCCTTTGGGTCAATTAAGAGGAAGCACAAAGCAATTTTACACATTTTTAACTTATGGTCAACTGGCCACGCTCCCTGGCACGATCTGCCACAACCTACTAATGGACAAGACCTTGCTCATCTGTCACAGCTCCACTGCAGCAACGATATAAAAACGGTCATTGCTCCTCGGAGAGTGTCTCATTCCTCACTCTTTTGGCACTGGGAAGTGCTATCGTATAATCTGCGAGTGATTTGTATTTTGACGTCTCCCACAATTGCTTTCATATAAATCTTAATGAAATTCAACAGAGATATCATCACAGAAATGCCCTAATAGGTCCCACTCACGCCGGGAAAGCCAGGAGATGACATGTTTAAGGACTTAAAGATTAAATTTTCAGATTCTGCTATCACAGATATCACAGTGTAACCTTTTTATACATATATATATATATATATA